TTTCTGATTAAAATCAATCTTGTGATCTTTTACTGATATTTTTAGGAAAAGTGTGCTCAAGTGCCCCCTATATTACTAAAATACTTATAAAGGAATATTATGAAAAGCATAAGCAAAGAAAATTAAGTAGGTACTTATTTTTCCACAATATAAGTAAATAATATTTTTAATTTTACTAATTTTAGTAGAGTGAAGCAAGCTAGAAAAGTAAATTTTTTAATCATTTGTATTGTATAGTGTATTATGCTACCTATACCACTATACATTTAGTAAATATCAAAATAAATATAATAATATATACTAATATACCTTGAAATTTGAGTTTTATTTTAATGTTTATTGACTATTGAACAATACCTAATACTCAAAAGTCAAATGATTTATACATTACTTATAATAGGTACCTTCTAAGCGTAGAAAAGCTTCGTTCTGCTGAAGCAACACTAATAGGTAGTGAACAAATAATATTAAGAATATAATGAATATTTGGAAACACTGATTCCGGACACGAAATTAGAGCTTCTAAACCATTATTTGGAATATTTTCTCCTAAAAAAATTTAGTATTTTATATAAATAAAATTAATGATATTAAAATATTTTTTTAACAAATTTATTTAGTAATTAAATATAAAAACTTTAAATATGTATATTTACTTTCATATTCATGTCTCTTCCATTTAGTAAACCATAAATCTAATTCATTTTGTATTATATCTTTTGATGAAGCTTGAAAATATGTATAATTTCCAGTCATAATTTCAGAAATTGTTGACAAATAATTATGCAAGTCTTCATTTTTTATTTTAATAAGATACTTTGGTGTAAGCTGCATTAATGATACAATATTTTTATTTTCCTTGCTCAAAAATAGAAAGTTTAAATCTTCTAATATATTGTCCAATAGAGGTATATAAATATTAACTCTATAGTAATCAACAATATTGTTTGATGGTAATAAGTTTGGTCTATGTTTTTGACGCGAAGTAATTCTTGGTAATCTCATATCAACATTAAGTTCTCTTAAAATCAGTTCACATTCTTTAAACAATAATTTAAATTTGTCTTCACATTCCTTACGGTTCCTTTCAATAATTGTGTATATATATTTAATACATTCTGATGCTGAAATAATATCTTGATCTTTACCTTGCAATATTTTGCTTATAGGAAATGTTACAGCTAATAAACTTGATAATGAAAAAATTGATATAATAAAGTCACAATTACAAATAGCTGCTATCATCATTTTGGCTTTTGAAGAAGAAATATTTTCATTCCATTCAGATAAATCAGTTAAAGTATCTACAATTTCAATAATGGATTCTTTAAATTGTGTTATACTATCGTGTCTTTCGACCCACCTTGTTTCACACAAACTACGTAATTTTTAAGGTGTTGTCAAATGTTGTTTAAGAGTATAGTTACATTTAGCAGATACATGAAAAAAGGAATCAACTTCTTTTATAATTCCTACACAGTTTCGTACAGATTGAACAGCAGATGATTTAGCAATACTGAGGTTCAATGCATGATTAGAGAACGGGCTATGTATGGCATTTTTGGCATTTTTGGCATATTTTTTTATTTGTTGCACAGCACCACGAACTTCAGAAACCATAACAGAACAACCATCAGTCCCAATACCTACACAGTTGTCTAAATTTAATCCTAATTCTTGTAATATTTTTACCACTGTATCTCCTAAATTCTCTCCTGTTATTTTGAGTTCTACATTGTCTTCAATATTTGACACATCATCTTTATTTTTTTTATAAATATAATTATGGCAATCGACAAATGACAAAAATCTCTCATATATAAAGTTGTTTAATACAAACCGAATAATTAAACACATTTGTGAAATATTAGATATATCAGTGGTTTCATCAAACAAAACGCTGAATATTTCTGAATTTTTTATTTCTAAAAGTATAAAATCTAATATTTCTTGTTTGCAACATTCAATAATTTCATTTTGTGTTAACTTGCTAATATATGTAGGTAGCTCTAGCACCAGTCGTTTTTAAATGTGTTTCAAGTAACTGATCACCAGCATCAATTCTAAATTTCAGTAGCTCTCTAAAATTTCCTTGATTAACTATATAATTCGCTTTGTCCTCTCTTCTTCTGTTTGACAAACTAAAGATCCATCATCTTGATGACCGCGCAAAGGAATATTTTGCCGGCCTAAAAGTAAAATAGTTTTTATAATTGGTCGTAACAGTTCACGATTCTCTAATATTTCCTTATTACGTTGGTCATTTAATAAATTAATAATTTAATTTTTAGGTTTATCATAAGTACTAAAAAAGTTTATAGCTTTTTGTGCATTATCTTGATGATATCCATTATTATGACGTACTTCTAATACACCATCCTTACCTAATAGTTTTGCAAATTTATTAATAGGTTCAGTAAATAATTGTTCGGAACACCGATAAGATAATGATACGATACGGCGGTCGTCCGTCGATGTGTACGAGTAAGGAATTTAGTATACGATAGATCGCGACGATTGACAGTCGATCGACATCAACGATGATGTATTAATTTATACTCGCAATAAACTGTGTTGTGTTAATAATTATAAGTAATATTCAATTGTATGTAAATCCATCATTTTTTGTGATGTCATAAGTAGTTAATTAAATTATTAAAAAAAAAAAAGATTTCATTATAAACACAAAAATTTGTTGTTTAATAAATAAAAAAAAAATGTAATTATAATACAAGTGAACGTATGAAATTTTCCCGTTTTAAAACAAATATAATGTACAATCTAATCACACATGAAAACGGGTTAAGATTTGAAAATATTTATTTATACTCTAAAACCTCTAATCAAGAAAAATATGTTTTGTTAAAAAAAATAATGGA